TCTTTATTTTTAACTTGACATTAGGTAGCTGAAAATGTCATCAAAATCACAATCTTGCTCAAAATATGCACTAGAAACCTTTCAAAGTTGAAAATATATTTCAACAATATGACTTCAACAATAAGGGGGGAGAAAAAGGCTGGAAAGATGGCTCAGCAGGTTAAGGTCCCTGTTGTGGAGACTGATGACCAGAATTTTATCCCTGAAACCCACATGATGGAGGGAGAGAACTGACCCCTGAAGGTTGTCCTCCTCATGTGTGCTGTGTTATGTACAGGTGTGCCTGCACACATAAGCACTCACAAGAACAATAAATAAAAATAAAATGTAATGAATGAGCTGGAGAGATGGCTCAGTGGTTAAAGGCATGTATTGCTCTTGTAGGGAACCTGAGTTCAGTGCCCAGCTCCCACAGCCTGTGACTCCAGCTTTAGGGGGGTCTGATACCTTTGCCCTCCATGGATGCCTGCATTTATGTGCACACAGCCCTGTGCAGACACACATACACAGACACAATTAAAAGCGAAACAAAGATTTTTAAAGCAATGCAAAGTTTAAAAGAAAGACTTGAAAAGACGTGGGAGAAAGTAAAAGACTCGCTTAACAGAACAAAATTGTCACACGTTTTTAGGGAAAAGAGCTGCTGAATTTGATATCCTGTGCATCTGTTATGACAAAATCTCAAGGGAAGGGAGGTTTAGTTTAGGTCCTGACCTGGTGGGAAGGTGTGTGTCACCTGGGGGGGGGGAGGGAGACAGGACGCAAAGAGAGAACAGAGAGCAACCCCAAACAGTATGCACCCTCACCCCAACCCCCCGAGATTTACTTTCTCCAGGTAGGGCACCTTCTCTAGCGCCTAGACTGTACCCAAACAGCATCACCAAGCGGTGGCCAACCCTCCCATAGTGAGCCATCTGGGGACCACATCACACCCAAATCCTAGCAAGCCTTCATTCTCTGTTTCCAGGGAGAAAAACCAACAATGCTGTCTTTTTTTTTTTTTTCTTATTGTGATGGAAACCAAAACTGCAGAACTGAGCAAATTCTTTTAAACATCAAAGCGGTTATTTGTAGCGCATTGAAACTACAGGAAAGTTCAGTTCTGGTTTGTGAAATGGAAGAACACTGCATTGACTAGACAACGACACGCCACACAATACACAAGACACTGCAATAGATAGAACCGCAGCAAAAGGAGCCTGTGTGTGTTGAGTACTTACTGTCTCTAAGGTCTGTGCTGTGTTGTAAACATGCGTGGTGACTGTGTCAGCCAACTTGCATGAAGGGCCTCAGAGAACTTACTCTAACTTTCTTCCAGCCTGCTGGTTGGTTGGTGAGAAACCAGTAATTACCAAGCTATGTGTTGTGGGTTTTGTTTTTATTTAATCATTTAAAATTTATTTATTTACTTTTATTTTATGTATATGGGTGTTTTGCCTGCATGTATTGTCTGTGTACTGTGTATTCCTGGTGCTTATGGAGGTCAGAAGGGGGCATTAGATCCCCTGGGACTAGAGTTCCAGATGGTTGTAAGCCTCCATATGGGTGCTGAGACTCGAACCTGGGTCACCGGAAGTGAAGAGTTTAAGTTAGCCTGGGTGACTCCATTTTGAAATAAGGAGCCATCTTGACCAGGAGCTGAACTCAGGTACCAGGAAATATCACAGAATGTGCACCTGGCAGAAAACAAAGTTACCTCTCCTAGCAACAGCCTCCAGGAAAACTCACAGAATAAATGTTTAGTGAAAAATAGAGACAATCTCCCTGGCAATTGTGATTATGTAAACGGTCACCTCTCCCCTATGGCTTTTACCCAATTCTGTAACATCAAGGTATGCATCCCTCCTGCTTTCTCTCATGGAAACATGTACACCCCCTGCTTGCTGTCATGGAAACCCCATGCTCACAGACTTTTCCCTTAAAAACCCTGCTCACTCAAGGCTCAGAATCCCACTTCTCTACTGCTGCGTCACTGAGACTTGGGTCCTGAGTTCGATCACTCTCGTAATAAAGCTCTCTTGCTATCGCATCGAGTTGTCTCCTGGTGGTCTCTGAGGGTCCCGTGATCCTGGCATTACAGAAGAGCAGCCAATTTTTTAACCACTGAGCCATCTCTACAGCTCTGGGTATGGATTTTAAATGTCTCTTCATTTCTTCTAATCATGAGAAATTTAACTGAGGAAGTTTTACTTGCCCTGTGTGGTGTGGTGGTTTAAGAGCGTTTAGGAAAGAGCTAGAGCCAGAGTGGAAAGGAACAGTTAGCATGAGTGTGCAGTTTTAGTTATTCACACGTGTGAGAAGACCGGCCACCCTACACCTCATTTCCTGAGAATCTGAGGCGGGAGTGAGAGCCAGGCCTCCACCCTCCATTTTTTGTTTGTTTGTGTTTTTATTTCATTTTGTTTTTTCAAGACAGTGTTTCTCTGTGTAACAGCTGTGTGACAGTCCTGGAACTCACTTTGTAGACCAGGCTGGCCTTGCATTCACAGAGGTCCACCTGCTTCTGCCTCCCTAGTGCTGGGATTAAAGGCATGCACCACCAACACCCTGCGAAAGCCACACTTTGAACAGAGAAAATGCTGCTGAAGTTGGCCTGATTCTCTAGAAATGCTCTCCAGCTCCCTGGATCTCCAGCTTTGGCCATCCTATTTACCAGTTCTTTGTCCTTAAGGAGGAATGGTTCCAAGGATACCACTGCTCGGCTAGAGGCCTTCCATGGGTACCATTATCTAAAAGTTCTTGTCACTCTGTTCCGACCTACCTCTCCAGTGTCTTCCCTGCTCTGCCTCCACAGCCACTGCTCACCCCCGTATTTCATAACACATCTCAAATGTCATCTTATGGTGAAATTGAAAGTCTCCCTCCAGAATCTTTGTTTGTTTGTTTTTGTTTTTGTTTTGAGACAGGGTTTTTCTGTGTAGCCTGGGATGCCCTGGACTTGATCTGTAGACCAGGCTGGCCTGGAACTCAGAGAGATCCACCTGCCTCTGCTTCCCAGATCACAGGTGTGTGCCACAGAGCCCAGCTCAGAAGTCTTAGCTAACCAGAGTGAATCCACATGTTTCCTGTCCTGTGTCTCTACAGCTCTTCACATTAAGCTCATTTGACCTCAGTTATGGCTCAGACTCTGAGGAAAGGCCCTATTCTACTCCTCTTAACATTTCCAGAACTGGCTATCACAAAGGGTGAAAGTAATGTCACCACCCACTCAAAGACTGTTAAAGAATGAGTCGTGGAACTACCTCAGTCTGCAGTTCCACTATGTCATTATCCAGAACCTGGACCCTTTCCCATATGTGATGGACTTGTTCCATGGTTCCCAATCACCAAATTGGGACACCTAGCTCTCTGATTCAAGCCATCATTGTTACTGTCTTTACTATGCTTCATTTGAATGTGACGGCTCTGCGTTTAATTTGCTCTCACTCTGCGCTACAAGTGTCCTCCCCACACGGGTCCCAGCTGCCAGCTCTCCTTGATTTATATTCATTTCCCAGGTATACCAGTTGTACCAATTGCTAGTAATGGCGCTGACATCCACCAGGTGGACCGTTTTAGCCATGATGTTATGTAGCAAAGCTGTAACATACTCTCTATGTAGCAAAGCCTTTCTCTCATAAACCCTGATTTGTCCAATCCACACCACATAAGAAGCAGGATGAGCATGAAGTTTCCAGGTGTAACACATTCACCCATGGCTTGTCAGTTTTTTTAAATTATTATTATTATTATTATTATTTTATGTGCACTGGCTTTTTGCCTGCTTTTTGTCCGTGTCAGATTTTGGAGTTGCAGACAGTTGTGAGCTGCCATGCTCATTTGGGTGCTCTGGGAATCGAACCCCGGGTCCTCTGGAAAAGCAGCCACCTCTCCAGCCCCAACTAGCCAGGGCTAGCCACTGGCTTCCTTGCTTCCTCCAGCAGGAAATACGTGTGGAGGTTTGCCTAATCTAAGACTTCTACCGCCACCTAGTGGTCTGCATGTGCTTCCGACAACGGTGCCGTTCTCAGGGAAGTGTGTCACATAATGACACGCTTCCAATGTCTTTGACCAGTGCTCAAGAGACTGTCTCACTCTTTGCAAAAATGACATCTGCAACGAAGCTTTAGGGCCTCAAACCTCCCTCGCTGAGAAACGCTACACTCCTAAATTTATCCAAAATGATTGTGTGATTTTGTAAAAGGGACTGCGAAAGGCTAATGGCTTTTGAAAGTGTCCTGCTATGTCCCATGCGCTGTTTTCAAAAGGTTTAAGTTTGGAGAATTTGTCTTAAATGTATTGTTTACCTTTTAAATAGTAATGTCTCATTAATACTCAATGGCTTTGAGATCGTTTTGTGTTCCATATGTATAAGTATACTTGTCTCGTTTTAAAGATATTTGAAAGGGAGCTGGCAAGATGGCTCGGCTGGGAGGAGAGTTCGTCATGCACGGCTGATGACCAGAGTTCAATCCCCAGGACACATAGTGGGAGGAGACAGTGCTGAAAGGTTGTCCTCTGGCCACCACATGTACTGTTGCCTGCACGTCCGCACAGTCACACACGTCACACACAATAATAATGATCAGTAAAGACGCTGGAAAAGAATCCATATCAAATTCAAGTCTGTTTTAAAACTAAGAAAGCTGGGCACAGAACAAGTATTCAGGAGCTTTTCATCCGTCCGTTAATTTGGTTTCCAGCCTCTCAACCAATACCCAGCAGAGTTGGTACTATTCCCTTTATTCACTGAAAGATACTAGGTTTAACCCTCAACTCTGGAAGGAAAGTTCTCTTTTATCTGTATGATAAACTTGTAAATTTAGCCACATAGCTCAAGCTGATAATTGTTCAGTTCCCCTCACCTCAATTCCATTCACCCAACTGGAAGGATTTACTGCCTGGTCATCCTTTTGGGTTGGTTATCCACACCCTTCCTTCTCAACACTCAAAGGCAGGTACATTTGAGCTTGGACCTTAGTGAGTCAGACAGAAACAAGTCACACAAAGAAAGGCGGCACTGTGCTTTACACGTACCTCATAGACCAAAACTTTATTGGCTTCAAAGTCTCACAGAAACCCCATGGCCACCCCTCTCCATCCGGCTGAGTGTGGGTTGGCACGCAGCATTGACCAGAGGTGACGTCCATCAGTATCTACAGCGTGTCCCACAATGCTCCCTTCAGGATGAGGTCATGACGAAGGTTCCCATGTCAATATTCATCCGAATATGGATAATCGGGGTGGGCAGCAGTACTGAAGTGAGAAAGAAAATGCACAGAACAGGCTCAGACGTTACGGAGAATGATCCGTCTTCCGACTGCACAGTAAAGATTTGTTAGTCAGAACTAAATCATTTCACTGTCGTTCTCCTGCCTGGAAGGTGACAGAACTTAGGCATTCAAATGTGCACATTCATTCTTTTTCATCAACTACAGCATCGGTCTACCAAAGCAATACGACATCCTTTCTCACTCCAGATAGTCAGTGAGGATGGAATCGGAGTATGACTTGTGGACAACATTTCCACAGACAGTGACTTAATATGTATGTATGTGTGTGTGTATATGCCAGTGCTTCTCAGCCTTCCTAATGCTGTGACCCTTTAATACAGATCCTCACAATGTGGTGATCCCCAACCACAAAATTATTTCATTACTACTTCGTAACTATAATTTTGCTACTGCTATAAATCATAATGTAAATATATTATATGAAGGATACTTGATATACAACTCATGTGGAAGGAGGCATGACCCACATGTTGAGAACCAGTGAGATATATATACATATATGTATATACACATATATGTATATATTCTGGCTCTCTGTAGGTATTTACGGTTTAGTGCTAGTAATATCAAATTCACTCATTAAGCTTTAACTCCTTGTCCATCATATATAACACGCTATGTTTAATGCAGAAATGAAAAGGCTAGAATTCGGAGATACACTTTCATGTCCAAGAGACTCATTATGTAGTTTGTAGGTCTCTTCACTTGAAAACAACACATATATAAAGTGATAAAAGTAATTTATTTTAAAAGATTAGCTTGAGTTTTGGACCCTTCTAAACAGACTATGGTAAAGTCCCCCAATGCGTATCCACTATCTTGTTGTCAAATTTAGGGGTTTGCATGATGGTATAAAGTCAGCAATATTGGCTGTCTGTGGGATAATAAACACGGAAGCCCACGTGTGGCCATCTAACCTTGATTGCATGCACACTGTTAGTGTATCAGACCTCTGTGGGGGATGTGCGACCAGAGTTTCCAAAAGCCCCTGTCTCACACTGACCCCACTGTCCAGTATTAAGGCAACTTTTAACAACCATATTAAATTCATCGTCAGAAAATGAATTGAATGATGAATTTTCCAAGGTTACTCACAAATCAGCAGGAGCATATCTGTAATTTTTGTTGAGGCTGTCTATAACTGCCATGTCCTCCGCAGACAACTGGAACTCAAAAACCTGTCACATAAGTAGACTGATTTTAGTATGACCATGTCTTCGCCACCCTGAAAAGCACAAGCTAATCAGACTGAAAGGTGTGGGGATAACAGATTCCAAAAGACTTTTACGATAACAGCAGCGAAAAGGATTGAAATTATTAATGAAATGCTTCTTGCCTTTTGGCAAAGATCAAATAAAACGATTAATAAATAACAAGTGGAAGTTGAATGCAAATATATTACTATGTATAATATATTTAAACGTCACAATACGACAGGCAAAAATCAGAACTCAAAGCAGACTGGAGAAGAAACAGCTGTTTTATGTGAAAAACACAGGATGAATTTCATGTCAGATCTAGAGGAATCTAATGGCCACTTTTTAAAATATATGAGGTAGCAATAATTTTCATGGATACCATTGGCTTTGTGTATCCAATCAATGAATAAGAATGTGAAAAATACCCTTTCTGATGTAATCAGAAATTTCTCAAATACCAATGATACTTTGTTTAAAGGATTTAGGAGATACCTCAAAAAAGGATGTCCCCGTTTAAATTTGTAACACTTTAAGCATCAAAATGATTTTTACTAATTACTAAACCATTAAAATGAGTGGATCCTGGGGGCTAAAGCGATGGCTCAGTGGTTAAGAGCACTGGCTGCCCTCCCAGAGGACCTGGGTACAGTTCCCAGTACCCACATGGCAGTTCACAATTGTCTGTAACTCCAGTTCCAGGGAATCTGACACCCTCACACAGATATGCATGTAAGCAGAACACATGAAATAAAATAAGCTATTAAAAATGAGTGGATCCTTAAATACATACTTTTTTTAAAAAAGAGAAAGAAATAGAAACAGTAAAGAAAAAAAAGTATCCATACTTTATTAGCTGATGAATCTAGGTAAAAGGTATCAATTTATTATTTTTCACTAACCTTTCTGTAAATTTGAGCATTATCTAAGCAAAATGAATATTGCCAAAGCTATTAAGCTCAATCTGACAGAACGCATATCAAAAATGAATGAAGTGAAAATGTATTTAATAATATTAAAAGATGATCTAAAATTAGAAATTTATACCAAAATTGTATTAAAGAGCTTAACAGTCTAAAAGATTAGACCATGTTTCAATGTAGTGAAGCAGTGTTGGGAGGGAGAAAGTTATTCTAAGTTTTATCTGCCCAGAGGCAGTCAAGAATAGCCAATGCATTTAAGTAAAAAGCAAAGAAAGAAAGGAAGAAAGAAAGAAAGAAAGAAGGAAGGAAGGAAGGAAGGAAGGAAGGAAGGAAGGAAGGAAGAGAGGAAGAAAACAAGCTAGGTGACATCGCTCAGTAGCAGAATTTACCTGGCATGTGTAAGGCTCTAGGGTCAATGTCCAGTATTAAAACTGAGAGTAACAAATCAAACACTGATTTTCTAATAAAATCATCACAGTAGAGGAAAGTAAATACATGGGCTGAAAGGAAGGTGGTAATTTATATTGCTAAAAACCTTTACATGTTATTTAAACATACATCTTTCTTTATATTTATCCTTATTTTGCATAGTACTCAAAAACTTCCATTGAAGTCAAGACCAGTTGGGAAAAAAAAAAATCATAACTGCTATATAATGTAGCAAATCCATTTCGCTTCCCATATAGGAAAGACATAATACTCACTGACCACAAGGTAAAATTATGAACGGTGTGACCGCAGTAAGGAAGAGATCTTAGTGATTTAAAAAATATATCCCGAGACTAATGAAAACATGGGCAAGTCACGGAGAAGATGCTCCCACAATTACTGAATCTGAAAAGCAACCATTCAGCGCATATAAATGTGGTAGGAGGACGACAAAGGTACCCCACCCCCACACACTGCCCCCCTGTTCTTTTAGTCTCCGCGGATGCACGCTTTTGTAAAACAACCTGCAAGTCTTCCCAGCATTAGAAGGTATCTTTCTCCCCATCGCTCCAGTTTTGCCTGGACTGCAATTTACAACGACCCCCCCAGAGCATGAAAACACGCTAATGCGGCAGTTTTAAGCCTAGACATGAGAAGATTGTCCAAGCATCTGGACAATGGAGCCATGACAACGGAGTGGTACTGTAGAGAGAGAGAAAAAAAAAAAAAAAAAAAAAAAAGTTCGCGCAGGCGCATGAAGCACAACATGCCCAGGGAAACACGAAGGACGGTCACTCAACACGGATGAGCTCACAAAAAGGCCTTCAGACAGACACTGTGCAGGAGCCTTGATGCCCACAGCCTGCTCTTCACCTTCATGTTCTCCTTGATCCGCTTCTCATTGAAACTCTTGGCGAGAGTCACAATCCCACGCTGCAGCAGATACCGGAGGGAAATTAGAGCTGCAGTTTGCTTGTGCTTTTCCGCCATGGCACAAAGAACGGGGTCTTCCAAGAGATAGGGGGCATTCTCATTTATCCTGAAAAGAAGGGAATAGTGACTGCTTGACGTCACGATCTGATGTGTTAGGAGGCTTACAAAACATATGGGTGTGCCCACTCCAGACCCAGGACCCTAAATATGACCCTAACCCGGTAAGGCTAGCACCCGCTGGAATCTTTTCAGGCGTTGATTCTCCCCCCACCGTAAGACTGCTGAGTTAATTCCAGAAAACTCAGAATTGCAATACTGAAATGATTTTATATGAGTCGTATGTATGATTTAGTTAAAATCCTTTTTTTTTTTTTTTTTAATTTTCTTATTTTGAGACAGGGTTTCTCTGAGTAGTCTTGGCCGTCCTGGAACTCACTCTGTAGATAAGGCTCACAGAGATTTCCCTACCCCTGCCTCCCTTAGTGCTGAGATTAAAGGCACCAACATAGCCCAGCTTTAGTTACAATCTTTATTACCATGGCTTACACCGTTGGGAGCCTAGAGCACCATAGGCAACCAGAACAATGTCTTTTGACTTGCAGTAATCCAAAAGTTTGCTCTGGTTGAGATAAGGATGACATTCTACCTGTAGGTGGGCAAGACAGAAAGATACTGGATTATAGAAACCTTCATATGTTGATGGGGAAAAAAAAAACAAAAACAAAAAAAACACCAAAAAACAGTTTTCATAAGAAGATGAATTGAAAAGTCTAGACTACTTGAAGTCTGAATAGAAAACCCAGCTTCACGTGACGATCCTCTTTTTAAATGTAAAAACAGAGAGGCCCTCAGGGCAGGCAGGCTGAAGCCAGCCAGAGGTGCCCTTGGTGTGGCCTGCCCTCGGTGCAAGACATTAACAATGTGCAAGGATATAGCAGAGAGATGGAAGAGAAAGAGAAGTGAAGCGGTTGAGCGCTATGAAGAGGCAACCCTGGAGAGCTGTGGGCTCTGAGTTCTCTATGCTCAAGTTCCTCCCAGGGTGGAATCACAGTCTCCTGCTGCCTCCTTCAGATCAAGATGTAAGTCTCTTTCATGGCTCCTCCAGCTCCATGTCTGCCTGCACGCTGCTATTCTTCCCATAACTAGACTAATGGACTAAAGCTCGGAAACTGTCAGCCAGCCCCAATGAAATGTTCTCTTTTGTAAGACTTGCCTTGGTCATGGTGTCTCTTTACAGCAATAAAACCCTAACGAAGACACATAGTAACAGATACATACACACAGACTGAGAACGCAAATATCCCCTCGTGTGCTGACTGTCATAGTAAACCTCTCTTGGGCCATTGATGACAAAGGAAACAACAAGGTTTATCCCATTAAATAGGAATAGCTGTAGTTCATCTTTACTTCTTAATCAAAATTTTATTTACTGTAGAATTCTACAAAAAAAAAATCAAATCAGTCTCTTAAAATAAAAAGTCAACTTCTGGAAAACCCCAGGAAAATAACTAAATCAGGCAAAAGGATATTAACAGATACTGAAAATAGGTTTTCAATACATAAAAATTTATCTTAATATGACCTCCCCTCCCCCACTGCCAAGACAATTACTGCTTGACCAGCCAGTAATAACTGAAGCAGAAGAAAACATCTGTTAAAAAAAAATACTGACTTGAGTAATAAGAAGAGAAGAGAAAGAATGAGAGAGGGACTAAATTACTAAAATTATAGGTGATAGACAAGGAGTTAGTTATAATAAACTACAACAAAATCTGGAGGATTGTTACAGCATACTTTGAAAAATTACATCCTAAAAAACTGGAGAGTCTAGAAGTAGGCAAATCCCTAGGCATGAATCACGTCTTACCTAAATAAAGTCACAACACGGAGACAACTCGACAGAAGCAATAACAGCCTTCCAGCTAAAACAAACAAGGAGAAACCTAGGCCCAGATGGGTTCGCTACTGATTTCTACCACGTCCACAACTGACCAAAAACAAAATCAACGAAATGTTTCTTACTGATATTCTGATACACTCATAGATCAGATTAATGCGTAGCCCAGTCGTCCTCAGAGATGTTGAGAGCAGATGCAGAGACCTACACCAAAATGTTAGGTGGAGCTCAGGGAACCCTGTGCAAGAGGGGTCAAGGGTGCCAGGAGAACATTGCCCACAGAATCCACTAAGCAGGGCTCACAGAGGCTTGCAGAGACTGAAGTAGCGATCGTGGAGCCTTCATGGGTCTGTGGTAGGGCCTCTGATTACATGCCGTGGTTGTTTGGGTTGGGTTTTTTTTGTGGGACTCCTAACAGTGAGAGTGGGGGTGTTTTTTACTCTTTTGCTACCCCTGAGACTCTTTCCTCCTACTGGGTTGCCTCGTGCAGCCTTGATAGGGCTTGTGTCTAGTCTTATTGTATTTTGTTATGCCGTGTTCAATTGGTATCACTGGTTGCAGTAAGTATGTATTGTATGAGAGAAAAATAAATGAGGCGTGGGGGTGAGGGGAGGTGTCCAGGCTATCTTTTTGTCAACTTGACACAAGCTAGAGTTATCTAGGAAGGATAGCCTCAGTTGAGAAAATGCCTCCATCAGATTGCCTGTAGTCGAATCTTGATTAATGACTGATGTGCAAGGGCCCAGCTCACTGAGGAGACACCAGCACTGGGCAGGTGGTCCTGGAGTGTGTAAGGAAGCAGGCTGAGCAAGCCATGGGTGCAAGCCAGTGACTAGTCTTCACTGATGGTTTCTGCTTGAGTTCCCGCCCTGACTTCTTACAGTGGTAGACTATAAACTAAGAAGAAATAAGCACTTTATTCCCCAAGTTTCTTTTGGCCATGGTCTTTATTGCAGCAATAGACGGCACCTAAGGACAAGACCCTAACACTATTGCTCCTCAACTTGTTCTGTAAAGAGAACAGAAGGGACATTATAAAACTCACTCGGCAAACTTAAAATTAACTTCATACAGAGGAAGCCAGAAGAGGAAGTCAGACCTTCTGGAAATGGAGTTGTGAGGTGCCATTGGGTGCTGGGAACCATACTGGGGTCCTCTGGAGGAGAAGGCAGTGTTCTCGGCCACTGAGCCATCACTTCATCCCTGCACTGACTCCTTCACTCTTTATTCTTCATAATTAGTCAGTGAAGCTCTCCTTGGCTGCTTTCCCATTTCCAAATGCTTGCACACACAGAGGCACTGTGCCTCGCCAACCTTTTCCACTAAGACTTTCCTAAGCTGACGTACAGTTACTGTCCTCTGCTCCACGAAGTTTAGATAATAAGGGAAGAGGATGCGTGGACAGTAATAAAGCAGGGAAGGAGAGAAGAGCAGAAGGAAAGGAAGCTGAGGGCACTCACCTGATTGCACACAGGCTTGTACTTGAGCCCCGGCTTGTTCAGGATCATCTCCAGTTGCCTGCGGTTGAAGTTGGATACCCCAATGGACTTTGCCAACCCTGCATCCTTACACTTCTCCATGGCCTGGAGCAGAGGGAAGGTGGAAAAGACTAACTTGTGAAGACTGTAGATGGTTACAAATACAGTGGTGTATTTCTAGAAAGGACAATGAGAAAGGAGACTAAAGCTAACTGCACTCGTTGTCAAGAAGAGGGAAACCAGCTTTAAAGATGGGCAGAAGATAATGGCAGAAAGAACGCCCTTGTTCTCCAGAGGGAGCAGAGAAATGATCTCACAGAGGGGAAGATACTTCTCCCCCAACGCTTTTCCGCTTGTCTTCAGTGCATTGCAATGATACCTTACTCCTCACGGTAGCAAAATAGCCCTAGTAAAGATATGCATTTCTTGATCTAACTGGGCATATCTGACTCTCACCTGTGAAGCTGAGATCTGACTCCCCTCCCTTAACTTCCCCAGTGTTCTTTATCCCAAGTTCTTACCTCCCATGTGTCACGGAGATCCACTGTGTCGAATAATAATTGCCCGTTTTCATCGGTTGGGTGAAGACCATTGCCTGGCTAGAATAGAAGCAGCCATTATAAACATCTCACCGATTTCATGGCTGTCCCAGAGCAATGTATACACAATATAGAGGGCTCCTCCACAAACTAGTTTATATTTGCAAAAGATTTTGCAAATGAAGTTGTAAGGAATATTTAAGGTGACAGATTTCTTTCACTCTCTCACATCCATTACACGTGTTAATTCACAACATTTCCCTAGGTCTTTTTGACTTGCCTTACCGCTGTGATTTCCCTTGGAGAAACGTCTCCCTGCCACTGAGAAAGTCAGTAGTTACATGGTCATGATCCTCAGCAAATAAGCAATCACTGTCTTGACATGCTTACAGAATCAGTGCTCCCGCCAGTGTTAATTTACCTAAGCATATCAAAGGTCAAAGGGTAGACATGGCAGCTAAACATTGTCCAACATTGAACTGAGCGTACAGCTTACCGGGTAAGTAGAGAGTTTGAAATAGTGTGCACAAGGCCTTAGGTTCAATGCCCAACACTGTATATGCCAAGCATGGTGCACATGGCTGTAATTCCAGATCACAGGGGAGAGAGATAGAAGGATGTGAAATTCCAGGTCATCCTTCACCTCTTGATGAGCTATGTGAGAGCTTGTCTCAACAATAAGCAAAAGAAAAAACAAATAAATACTGAGTCTATGGACTTTGTTTTTTCAGTTATAAGGAGTATGAACTAAGAACAAAGAAAACATGGTAACGGGATTATAGACAGGACACAGGTGTCAGAGAGACTCTTTAGATTAAATTCCTCTAAATTCAAAGATAATTAAGTCAGAAAAAAAAATCAACAGCAGGAAACTCTCAGCTGTAGATTCTGGAACTCACAGAAATGCCTAAGGGTGGGAAGTTCCATTTGCAGCCCTTTCAAAAATGGTAGACAAGGAAAATACAGACAAGTCCTGGGCCCAACTAGAAAGTGTGGCCCACTAATTCTTTGGAATGTGGATTCTTTTCAGAGCATATCATGTGTTTACTGAGGAATCTGTTTTCCAGGTCATAAGATTAATCATCCTAATGAGCAAATTAGGTCAAGTAATGTCTCTCAAAAAGCAACATTTCATGGCTTACATCTGTAATCCTGTGTTTAATTGTAAGGTTTTCTTTTCTTTTGCTCTTTTTTATTATTATTCTTAGTCCAGTATGTCAAGGACCATACAAAGGGGACTGAATCATGGGAGATATCAGTAGTCAAATGTAATTTTGTTGTTGTTGTTGACTAAACGATATCAAGATGGGTACAATTTCCATTATTGCTAGACATGGAGCAAGATGTATCATTTGTCTTGTTACATATTATTTCACAAATATTAACACACACACATTTACCAACTATTGGCCGTGTTCCAGGCACTATATCAGTTCATGCAAGCTGCTTTGCTTCTCTGTCAGTTATGCAATATTATTCCTATTGGCATTTACAGATAAGAAAATAAAGTCATGGATTTTAAGGAGCCGCTGGAAACCAGCCAATTAAAAGACAAAGTTCAAAACCATTCAGCATGTTACAGGTGTGTTGGTACACACCTGTCATTCCAGGACTCAGATGGTTGAAAATAATGATCAAAAGCTCCCGCTGAAGCCAGAATGTCAACATAGCTAGGACGAGTTCAAAAATAAGAATGTATGATTGCTAATACAGCACTCATATCCAGGAGGTGCCGCTTTATTCATTAAAATGCTCCTGTTCCTGCCACTTACCCATGTTTGTGCAGTTGTCAGATGTCAGAAAGCAAACAAAAAAAAAAGCAAAAAAAAAAAAAAAACCACAAAAAAACAAAACAAAAAACAACAGGCCAGTGAACATGAGAGTGCCTTCCTGTAATCCTAGCATATGGAGGCAAAAGAATCTCGATTCAATGTCAGCTTTAGCTGTATAGCAAGTTCAAAGCCAGACCATCTCAAAAATATCAAAAGTAAAGAGATTAACTTAAAACCAAATGACTAAAATTAAAATGAGCCCACAATCAAGGTTGTTCTCAAGACTAATTTTTATGCTGGAAGACATAGATAAAACACTGAATGTAAGCAACCATGAACCCTGAACAAGCCATTATTTGCTACCAGTGGGGGAAAATTAGAACAAAAGACAAACCTGTAGTAATGGTTTTTTTTTTGTGGGTTTTTTTGTTTTGTTTTGTTTTGTTTTAAATAATAAGCAGACACATTTCTAAAGACCTTTCCAAATACATCAATCTAGCATGATTTGGGTTCCTTGTTTTTCACAAGAATTATCCTGAATCATTTCCATGAAACATGCATGAAATTTCTATCAATCTGCCTATATAAACCATCAATGAAATTAATGGTCATGCCGACCACAGAGACAATGTAAGAATGAAGCTGCTGGTTGCTTACCTTCAATGATACTGGGAAATGAATGAGATAGAGGTCAACATAATCCAGCTGAAGCTTTTTCAGTGACTCTTCCAAACAAGGCTGGACTAGCTCTGGTCTATGACATATGGAGGGAAGCTGCAAATGTTAGAAAGTAAAAACTGAGACTTTTTCAACTAGTCAGAAACTGATGACTACAGAGCAAAAATACTCTGTCCAGTTGTAAGTTTTCCTTTGCCTAATCTATTAATATCAAGTCTGATACATATTTCGGTTTTATTAGTAAACTATAGACAATGGAAGGAAATTATGAATACTTGTATAAAATTGGATATAATAGCTTGATTGTTATTATATAATATAACTTTGTGAGTTATATCTCACAAGAGTTTACAAAGGAGGCTTCTTTTTTTAATTAAGTTTTTATTTTTTTATATTCATTACAGTTTTTTTACTTTGTATCCCAGCTGTAGCCCCTTCCTTCCTTCCCTCCCAATCCCACCCTCTCGCCCTCATTTCCTCCCAGCCCCTCTCTAAGTCTACTGATAGGGAAGGTCCTCCTCCCCTTCTGTCTGACCCTAGCTTATCAGGTCTCCCCAGGACTGGCTGCAATGTTCTCCTCTGTGGCCTAGCTAGGCTGTTCCTCCCACGGGGTTTGGGGAGGTCAAAGAGCCAGCCACTGAGTTCATATCAGGGACAGTCCCTGTTCCCCTTCAAAGGAAGCTTCTATCTTATTCCTTCATCCATTCATTCACTGAGAAAGAGTTAATATTTTGTTCATTTACATAAATATTATTTACATAATATTTCTTTTATTTACATATATTCCTGATATTGTAATATATATTAGATGCAATACAAGACTAGCAGTGTTTTATGAGATTCTCAGAGCTGGGTGTGGTGACATATGCCTTTAATCTCAGTATTTGGGAGGCAGAGGCATGTGGATCTGTGTGAGTTTGAGGCCACCCTGGTCTACAAAGCAAGTCCAGAACAGCCAGGACTACACAAAGAAACCCTGTCTTGAAAACCAAAAAAAAAAAAAGTAAGTCAAGATTCTTAAGAAAGTTGGACATGTTGGCACATACCCTTAATCCCAGCACTCGGGATGGATCTTTGTGAGTTCGAGGCCAGCCTGGTCTATAAAGCGAGTTCAGGACAGTCAATCCTACATAGAGAAATCCTGCCTCACAAAACCAAACCAAACAAAAACAAATAAACAAAAAGAAATAATAGTCACCCAATAGATTAGGAAAACAGTCTTATCATGTTTCTGTTCATGACAAATCATACTGCTTTCAGGTAAGACTTTAGAAAACAAAATTATTTTGCACTAAATGTACAAATTCAAACCATGGTAAGGAAAGAGAGATTTGCCACCTTCCTCTGTTTTCAACACTGGTTGAATATATGTAATTTTAAAAAAAATGGACCAATATGCCTCGTTTGACTAATGAGCAAACCATGCAAATGTTACCACACCAATGTCATTCATTTGCACGCCAGCACACCATACACATGCAATACCTTTGAAGTGTAGAATATATCTTCTCTCTTCACAGTGCCGTCAGCAATCTTGCTTCGAATAGCTAGCCCCACCTCCTCCTCATTTTGGTAGAAATAAGCTGAATCAATATGGCGGAAGCCAGCACCTATAGCTATTTTGGTAGCCTCCTTAACCAGACTCTTGGGAACCTAGAAGAGCAATCGAAAGGAGTATTTTGAGATTTGCTTTGATACATGTAGTATTTGGTTTTTGTGTCTGACTTACTGTTTTTTTAAAAAATCCTCTATTTCATGTTCTCTATAAAAATGACAAACTTAATTCTTTGTGGCAGAACAAATGCTTCACTTTGTGTGTGTGTGTGTTCAACATCTTATTCATTCTTGGCTTGATGGACACCACACCTAAATTGAACTCATAATTGTTACTAATGGGGCTGTTGTAACCTGTTAAACTCTATAGGCCCTCTGTTGAGACCTGCTTCGGTTCTTAGCATACTTATGACTCCTGTTGTATCCTTTAGCATATCGGAAGCCATTTTGCCTCCAAGTCTCCATTTTGATTATGTCTCTATGTTTTCATTTCTCAAACTTTGTATACTTTGTTACCTTGACACTATCAAGTCTGCCAACTGCAGAACCAATCAAATTAAAGGTCAGTTAGAAATGCTTTGTCTAGCCAAAATAATGTAACGTTGCTTCCTACACCTGGATACCTGGTTGTGTTTTTGTTATGTCATTGTCACCTACTTGTGGTTTGTTTCCTATACCTAGTTACAGTTTCATTACCTAGTTGTTACCTGGTTACTTTTTTTCCCTACAAAAAACAAACAAACAAACAAACAAAAAAACTGCTTTAGAAGCAGATCAATGTCATAGTCTAGCTTCCGAGTCCAGATTATGGCCCTGACCGGTCAGTTTCTGTTTAGTGTTCAATAAACCTCTGTTGATTTGAGTCTGGTGTCTGAGTGGTCAGTGAGCAGCTGTTCCTGAACCTGTAACAGGGCTGCATGAACCACACCAGCATGTCAACTTTATTTCCTTTGTATAGATGAAGGACGTTATGGGTAGAGCATGCAAAAGTTCTGTTTTAAGAAATTTCTATATTGTTTTCTTTAGTGTTTGTATTAATTTACATTCCTGTCAGCAGTGTATGGGAGTCCTGTTTTCTCTCTCTCTTTTTTTGCATCCCCATTAATGTTTGCTCTTTGCTATCCTTTTGTAACAGCCATTCCAAGATAAACCATTTTCTCATTGTAGTTTGAATTTCAAGACCTGCTACCAAGCCATAGCAACCAAAGCAGCATTGTAGTTACCCTGAAACAGTGACACCAAAAGAAGAAAGCACAAAGTAAATCCTTCAAATCATTAGCATAGGGAACCATCTTTAAGACATGTCCTCAAAGTACAGAACACAGAAACTAAAATACATACACAGAATAATGCAGAAGCACTTTTTTTTTTACCTTTTCGATGATAAGGTTAAAATGCATATTCTTATAATTTTTAAAAATTTTGAGATTACAACATTGTTTCAACATTTCTTCCTCCCCCCAAGCCTCCCACATACCCTTACTTGCTCTCTTTCAGCTGGATACTTCTTTCTTCATTAATTGTCATTACATGACTATGTGTATATGTTTATGCATATATTCCTAAATACAACTGCTCAGACCGTATAATATTACTTGCACATATGTAGTCAGGGCTGACCACTTGACATCGTATAACCAACCAGTGTTCTCTTGCCTGGAGAAAACTATTTCTCCCACTGGAAGCATTCTTTACTTGCCTGTGGGTCTTTGTGTAGTTTTTGTTTGCAGCGAATGGAATAAGAGAGTGGAGGAATAATCTCCAGATTAAAAGAAAAATCATTGCCAGCCATCTGTCTACTCGGGTTCACTTTTCTGACTTGATTTGGATTGGTTTTTGTTTGTTTGTTTGTTTGTTTTTTAAGGAATAAAACTCCAAGGAATTACTGAAACACAGTTCTGGGTACATCATGTTGGCATCTGCAGAGGTAGTTAGATCAAGAGGACTCTGACAAGATCGTTGGGCTAATCCCTTGATTTCACTTTCCTGTGTGGTGGGATGGAAAGCAGGAGTGTGATCATTTTGAGGGAAGTAGAGGCTAGGAGCCTGTCTTTGTGTCCTTGGACTGCTCTCCTGCCCTAGCTCCATCTTTCTGTCCTGGGACTGTTATCTTGCCCTAGCTCCTTCCTTTGCTTCTCTTCTCCCTGCTTCTCTTCCAGGGAAAGAAAAGCAGCCACTTCCGCATGCACTATCATCACCACCACCTTGATGTTCTGTTCAGTCAAAGCTGGCCACAGCAGACTGAAGCTCAGGAACCATAAGCCAAACCCAAAAACATCGGAACACCAATCCCTTCTTTGGTTTCTATGAGGTATTCTGACCACAGAGATGCGAAAATAATGTGTTGTCTGGAAAGTGATTACTATCCAGGGTACATGGAGAACTCAGAAAACTCTGTAACAAAATTAATTACATAGAGGAGAAGTGATCTGAATAGACATCTCTCAAAAAAAAAAAAACATGAAAACGTCTCACAAAGACATGACATACATGTGATTATCATTTATGCAGTGAGGGCGGATATTGAGTTTTCTCTTTTGCACCCAGCTAGAAGCAGGCCTATTCCAGGCTGAAGCTGAAAGTAAAGACAGAGCTATGAACTACCCTTACCTCCTCTGGGGCAAAGGTTCCAAAGCCAAGCACAGGAATGCGGTGGCCATCATTTAGTTCTGCAGAACCGTTGGGATTCATTCTGCACTCTCTGCTTCTGTTTTTCCTGCTGTCGCTGGGTACGGAGTAACAGGACGATACTGTAACTGCGGGGTACAAGGTTAGTCACGACTCACTTCCTGTCCAATCTGTAAACAGTAGAGTGTGGGGGAGGGAGGCAACAGCTCACATGCCCCAGAGAAATGGAACCAGCTCAAGGACTTCACAGAAAGGAGAATTCCAGCGTACATTACTATGTGCTGATAAAGTATTTAGTTTTTGCCCAGTTTTCTCACTATAGTCCCCCATGAATTGTCTTATCACAGATTGATTGAACACGTAATGGCTGTTTTTACCCTGAAAGCCTTCCTACACCTATTCTCTTGTTTGGGATCATGGTTTTCTGTCTATGATGAAAGCTTTCTTGGTCATACATCACACGCAGTCCCGTTCAAAGAAGTAAAGGTATGGGAGCTGGGTAGATGGCTCAGTGAGTAAGATCACTTGCTGCACAAGCTTGAGAACCCCAGTTCAGACCCCCAACACCCACATAAAAATCTGAGTGTGCCTGTGCACACCTATAACCCCAGAGCTGCTAGGTAGGGACGCAGGAGGACCACCGACCGGGGCGTTGGCCAGCCGGCTGGCTGCAGCTCCCGTCAGAAACCGTCTCGAGCAAGTGATGCAGAGAGTGACACAGAGCAATACCCTCACAATTCTCATCTGGTCCACACCTGTTCATACACCAGCCATGCATATGCTGCCCATACATACATCACACATATACATGCAAACACATGCATGTGTACACACGACACATGCGCATGCATGTTCACATGCACACATGCACAAATAGGCACACATAGACAAAACATACACACACACACACACACACGCACACACATACACATGTCAGATTCGTACAAAAATATATACAATCACATGCAATCACTTTCAACCATTCATACACCTACTCAGCAGACACTCACCTCTCCGTGCGCACACATAGCACACACTCACTCACATACACTCACACACATGCACATACTCAAACATAGGCATGCTAACACACTGGCATGCTCACACTCACATACTCCCTTACAAGCACAGACGCACATTCACAGAAACACGCAACGACACAATGCTCACTTCTGGAATAATAGTCACACACACCGAAATACTAAAACATTAAGAACACGTGTAAAAGACTTCCATATTCTGTCCTGCTGCGTGAGCTCTGATCCCATAGAACCTCATTAACTCCACTGGGAAGCATGCCTCCACCTGCCAAGGAATGCCACAGGCAAGATGTACCCCTCTCCCCTCTTTTACACGCAGGTCTCAGGGGAAGCTGAGGCCATTCCCACAGCTGAATTTCTGGCTTCTCTTTTTCACTGCAGGCACTTTTACATTATGGAAGCCTCTAGAGTTTATATTTTCTATTCCTCTGTGTATTTATATAAAATATATGAAATATAATGTCCCCAGGGATGAGATAGGAACCAGGAACCAGAGCCCAAGGCAGTGGTGCTGGGAAAACTCTCCCTTGTCCATCTGCCCAGGTTTTAGTTGTGAACCATGTAGTCTGAGTGGAAAAAAACAAACAAACAAAAAAACACAACCAGAAGACAAAATCCAACCGGAAGATAAAATCCTGACCTGCCCAGTCTATGCTTAGAAGATTAAGATGCCCTTATTAAGCTTTCTAGAGAGGCTAACTGGGTCACATGTGCTCTGTGCTTACCTTGAACTAACTGCGTAATAGAGGATGCCTTTAACCTTGTAATCTTCCTCCTTCCACGGCCCAGGGCTTCGTGCGGGGGTTGGGAAACTCTGACGCCGGACCTACAGCCCCAGCATGGCCAGTTTGGAAATTGGGTTGGTCCCTGTCTCACCACACATCATGAATTTCAGAAGAAAGCTCTCTCCTTGGAGGTCTCTCGGGATGCCCTTGTTAAACACCTATTCTGAAGAGCAGCTACGTCTTCTGTACTGACAGTGTGGTGAAAAGTTACCAAGTGTCGTTCCAGCTCACTGAGAAACCGGCTCTGGAAGCAGAGCCGCCGCTTCCCTCATTGAAGACCCAAAGCTTTCTTTTTATTTTTGTTTCTCAAAATATCCTCTAAGGCTCCTTGTCTAGGGTTGGGATGTCATTGTCCATCAATCTAGTTTCCCCATCTCCCCCCTCACCCTCCCCAAAAAAATGTGACAGGGAAGGAAGAAAGCAGTGAAACAACCCAAGAGTGAAAACATCATGCCTTTGAAAACAGCTAGAGGTTTTCTTTCTTTCTTTCTTTCTTTCTTTCTTTCTTTCTTTCTTTCTTTCTTTCTTTCTTTCTTTCCTTCCTTCCTTCCTTCCTTCCTTCCTTCCTTCCTTCCTTCCTTC